GAACTGCCCCCTGTGGGTTCCTGAGATGGTCACTCTTTACCTGAGGGCGGCTGGTGGTTTCAAACTGCCGACCGTGGGGCTTGCAGACCAACGCATAGCCACTGCAGCGAGGAAGGGATGCCTCCTCAAAGTGGATTTGGCCATTGAGACGTGGGTGTGGGAGTCAAGCCTGTGGGGCCTCCGTGTGGGAAACGAGGCCCTGGAAGGATGTGTACGAGGCCTGCTCCTGGCCCTCATGACCACGGGCCTTGGCTCGCCTCTACAGTCTGAGGTCAGGGGTAGGGGGCAGGGGGGAGCACCTTAAGGCACATTTTCCAAGAGGGTGTTTCTCTACAGCACATCTGCCCCCCCATAAATGCTACTATGTTAATATTTTAGTAAAAGCTGCCTCCTGCAGGTGCCTGGCTCCTCACACACTCAGTTTAAGGAGGCTTATTTCCCTTATCTTATGTCCCTTATCTTAAGAAGCGATTTGCACCTCTTGTCTTCCTGTTTGCCTGGCACTCCCTTTGAAGTGTTGCCCTTGAGGGCTTGTGAGAGTCAAGTTGAGTGCACTGTGCACCCTGCTGTTGAACAAGCTCCGGGCTCTGCTCCCCCTTCTTCATTCCCTCTGTGCTCACTGTCTGTCTGTCTGTCTTCTTCAATTGCCCTACTGGACCTGCAGGACCGCTGGACGGTGGGGCTGGACCCCACAGCTTCGTTTGCTGATGGGTCAGGACTCTACGTGAAAAGAATCAGCTGCAGACACCCATTCATGGCAGACATCTCTTGGTGGGGAGGGGGGTGGACATTTAAATACACTGTGTGTGTGTGTGTGTGTGTGTGTGTGTGTGTGTGTCATTAGATGCTGTCCAGTCGATTCCGACTCAGGCCGCCCCACGATGAGAGCAGAAAGGCTCCCTGAGACTCTGAGCTGCTGACCTTTCAGAATCGGATTGCCAGGTCTCTCCTGCGCACACCTTTGAGCCACTGGCCCTGTGGCCAGTCCTCCAGTGCTGGACCATTTGCACCACCAGGGCCTAGACCCCTGAGAGTTACAACACACAGGCAGGGATCCCGGGGCATAGCGGTCCCGAGGCAGACCGCTAACTCCCAGGTCGGCGGTTCAAACCCAACAACTGCTCCTCGGGAGAAAGATGAGGCTGTGGGGTCCCCTCAGACCCACACAGGGGCAGTTCTACTCTGTCCTAAGGGAGGCCTCCCGGGGGAAGGGCATCGATGGCAGTGAGTTTGGTTTGGCGTTGGCAGTGACCGGGCAGGGCAGTGCCTGGGGAACAGCCAGCTGGCCCAGAGCAGAGGCTCTGCTGGGGGCTGCACCGATCCCCGTGGTGTAAACACCTCGCTCCCCTCACAAGCCCCCAGTGGCTGGGGTGCACGCCTCACAGTGGTCATAGGGGGCGGTGGGTGCTGGGGAAGGAGAGAGAGGAAGTGGGACTGGTGGGTCTCAAGCAGCCCCGGTGGCACAGTAGTTACTTAGGGGACTGCTGGCTATAAAGTGGACAATTCAAAGCAACCAGCCGCTCGGCCGACTTGACGGTAACCAGTATGCTTGTTTGGTGGGTCTTTCTGCCATAGAAGCCAGAGGCACGCTGTCTGGAAAACTCAGGTCTTCCAGGATGAAGGACATGGCGAGAACTGACCAGTGACCACTGGGGCAGGATCATGCCAAGCAGAGGC